TCCAGGCCCAATAGGAAGCCAAAAATCTGCACCAGCACTTCCAGTAGCAGCTCCAGAAGCAACAGCCAGGATGGGTCCCATTACGGTCTACCTGCCACCTCCTGGTCACCACCACATCATCTTCCTCCTCTGGCTTTCTTCTTGGGCTTCCCTTCTCTTTCTTCCTCCTCTTGCTCTGGCTCTTGCTGATGCTTCTGCACCTTTTCTTCCTCCTCTGTGCTGGTGTGCAGCTTGCTTCTGTCCCTGGTTGAGGTGCTGGAGGTGGTGCTCCCTTCTGCTGTGCTCTTCACCTCTGACAGCCCCAGGCCTCACTCTGCCCACTATACTTGTCTTGCCCTGGGTGCTGGCAACCCACACTACGCCACTGGCTACGGACACTCAAAATTAGAAAACTGTAGGACAGGGTACTCCTATATAAAAGGGACAGAATAACAATAAGCTGCTCTAACTGTGATTCACTGTTCACATGAAACCTTGGCAAGCAAAATAGAGGAAGATTCTCCACCCAAGTTTCAACCAATAAGGTATCTGTGATACAAACCAGGTCAGCACACTCATTCAAGATCAAGATCCATTCACACATAGCTGTGATTGGGTTCTTTACTCTCTCTGGGCGACTCCTCACTTTCCGCGGGAAATTGACAACTTTCAAACTATCAACTTGGCAACTTTCAAAGTGTCATTTTTATTATCACTTATCTCCTCCAGCACATTACTTATAGGATCAAAGAGTTTTAGCTCAGGCAACAAGCCACAACTAACAGAACCAAAAATTTTTCCCATGGACTCAGCGGTGAATTCTCCCACGCCATTCCCTGTAATCTGGCCTTCGGAGATGAGTACTTCTCAGGGCACAGATCGTCCCACAGCATGCGTGGCGAATCCAGCCTCTTTCGTCCGGCCGATTGTAGAAACGGTTATGAACTATCTCGGCTTTCCTCTGTAGTTCGAGTTCTTGCGGTGCCACAATCAGGGCGAATCCAGCCTCTTTCGTCCGGCCGATCGTAGAAACGGTTATGAACTATCTCGGCTTCCCTCTGTAGTTCGAGTTCTCGCGGTGCCACAATCACAGTCGATTCTTTAGTCACGAACTGGGTTGGCTTAGTCTCCTCTAGTTTGGGTTCCGGCAACAGTCCTCCCACTTTTAGGTTTGGGAAATATCTCAGAAGTCCTTGGGTTCTTATGTTCTCAATTTCTCTCCTCCGTGCTTCTATCCTCTTTCTCTCAAAAATTGCTACAACTCTCCGTGCTTCTATCCTCTTTCTCTCATAAATTGCTACAACCGAACTGAACCAACGCACACCTTCCTCATTTATATCTTTCTCCCAAACTGTCAACTCTTGCTCCGCCCCATGCCCCTTATTACCCTTTTCTACTAAGCAAATCTCTACCTTTCCTACCTTTTCCTTGGATTCAACTTCTCCTGCCACTTTCGCAACTGTCAAGTCTTCAGCCTCCTGTTTTCCCTCACTTTTCTCACCCTCCCAATCTTCTTCTATGGACTCAATCACTATGGACGGCTCACTTATACACATTCCTCCTTCACAATAGCCCATGCCGAGAAGAGAGAAATTGTATTCTTGAAGGCTTTCATGGCCGGGATCTGATGGTTGTTGTGGGGTTTTCGGGCTCTTTGG